CGAACCATTCCGATGTTCACTCAACTGTATATCCTCAAATTATCACTGGATTCATGCTGACACTGTCCTTCCTTCTGGAGGGTGGCTACTTTTGTTCCCCATGGTCCCTGTGTGTGTTTTAAGCTTGTTCCTATGATGGACTACAATCTCACGCTTAGTTTACTAATTTGCATTGAGATTGTAGTCTATCACAGGAGCAAGCTTTCACCAGTGGCTACTTTACAACACAGACAGGGACCATGGGGAGCAAAAGTAGCAACCCTTCAGGAGGAAGGGCAGTATCAACATGAATTCAGAGATGATTTGAAGATCTACACCCAAGTGGTACACAAATAAGCTATATTTTTGTTCATAGTTAGGGCACTTGAATGGATTGTTATGGTTTAACTCTTGAGTTTAGTGTCACTTTAAAGAATTTGATTTGTGCATTGTCTGTGTTTCAATGTCATGTTTTTGCATTGCTATATGTTCCCCATGGCATTGCCTAACTTACTATGCTTGTTTCTTTTTTACAGTAGTTTACCAGTTAGCCCTAAAAATGACCAGAATTTAACAAGACTACCCGCCCCCCATGAACTTTAATGGTACTTGCCTTTAAGATTAGGTTCAAATGCAACATTTACCAAACCCTTATTGAATCAAACCCTGGCAGATTCGCCCATCACTACTCACTCTATCCAAAACAAAAACGTGTTACTTGGAGTTCTACCTTATTTAAACATAGTTACAATAATAGTATGGTAAAACAATAAAAAAAAACAGTAATTACATTTTCTAAAACGAATAACTTTAAAAGACATATTGGTAGGTTAAGCTCTCAAAAATGAGAAAGTAAAATGTAAATGGTTTTAGAAATAAACATCTTAGAGTGTAAATGAACATGAAAACGTCTGCAGGTTTGTTCCTTTGAGAGATGCCTGACATGATTGTTCTGCAATTATATAATTGGGTAATCACTATATCCCAAGAGATTTTTTGTAGTCTCTATTCTGAATATAGTTTTTTGATGAAACACCTTCTACTAGGCCACTGAAATAATGTGACAAGACACCTGCTTTTCTAAAGGAAAATGTTGCATTCAATAAAATGTATAAACATACTTATTTTAAGAGAATTAACTTCATCTTCAATAAAGCAATGTTTAGAGATTTTACCTCTATCATTACAAAAAATGCTCCAGATTTAGTGACAGCTGCCAATGTCCCAAATTGTTTGTACTCTCAATTGTTTGTATGCTCAGTGTGAATCAGATTATTTCATTTTCTCCAGCAGTGAATGTCAGCCTCTCTATATCTCTAGTAAAGTGAATGTGTAATAAGCATCCTTCCCCGGGGTCTAAATAAGAACTAACAGCTGTAACTCTACCCCTGTTGGTGCTGCTGCAAACGATGGGTTCTCCTATTGTTTTTGCGAATGACTTACCCCTCAACTGGACTGACATTACACCAACACACCAATAAAAGATGAATTAACTTTGATAAAACAAATGTCAGAAAGACCTACAGAGAAGTATTGGTTGAACAGATCGAACAGGAGTTAATAGATTAACAGAGGTGTCATACAGTAATACAAGGAGAAATGGTCTTAGTTTTCTTTACCACCAGTGAAAGACCCTGCACTTAGCAAACAGAGAGCAAATGGAGAAGGACACTGCAGACAATAGCAATAACCAGCAAACTATGCAATAAATATTCCCAATATAAAGTTATGACGCAGCTAGGTACACTGACCCAACTACACCATTCAGATCCTGACTAACCAATGACTGTTAGAGCAAATAAATGCAAAATCTGCTGGTAGTGGGGCACATTAACCTGGCATTGCAAGCATCAGCATTTTAATGAAGGTATTTGTTATCCTAAGGAGGAGAAACTTTGACTGAGGATCCTGGGGTTACTGAAGCTATGAACATTCAGAGGACTCATTTAAAGAATTATTTTGGCAGCAGCAAGATCCTGCAGTAATAAACAGGTTGATTATACACAAAGGGTGGCCAAAGGCCTCTCACCACTCAGAAGCCAACGGATGACCTGCTGACAGCAGTCAGTAATGTATCAACTGCCTTAGACCTGGCTGGTGGATTATTAAGCCAAACAGCCCAGGCAGGATGCAACACAGAAAACAAGATTCCCCAAGCTAGGTGATGATGGCTACGTAACAGTAGACATGTGCGATTCGTTTCGTTCCGAATCGAAATTCGGACGAATTTTCAGAAATTCGGACATTCAGATGTATCCGAATTCCGAATTACAGACATAACGAATGCAAACGAATCCGAATTTCCATTTCCGAAATTCGGTAGCGTTCGTACGAACGTTCGTTTCGTTTTCTGTTCTTATTCGTTTCTTATTCGTTTCTTATTCGTTTCGTTCGTTGGAGCAAAGTGACATTAGAGAAGGAGAAAAATATTTTTTCCCCCTCAAATGTCACTTTTGCTGCAAACGAACGAAACGAATAAGAAACGAAGAAACGAATAAGAACAGAAAACGAAACGAACGTTCGTACGAACGCTACCGAATTTCGTCCGAATCCGAATTCCGAATCCGAATTGACTTTCACATCCGAATCCTGAAAAACGAAATAACACAAATCCGAATTTAAAATGAAACGAAACTAAACAAATTTTTTGGCAGTGCACATGTCTACGTAACAGGTCACTCCATACCAAAATGTCTCTGCACCACTGGCAAGTCTGCTGAAGGTCAGGTGAAAGGACACAACTTACTGGGGCTCCCCTCTCTAACCTGCACCCTCCTTTCAAGTGTCCTTGCGCTTCCCTCTCTGTCTCTCCCTACACCAAAGCCTTACTTCTCACTGTCCACACATATCCAGCAAGCCTGTCCATCAATGCCTGGGCTGTGGGTTTTAAGGGTCTGCCAGTCAGGGCTACAGAGCCAGTCAAAGTAGACTGGAAACAGTTAACCCAGGAAGAAGGGACACACACATTGCAAACCCTGTATTTCAGAAAAAATTACATGATGGCTACTCACCTCCAGAAATAATTAAATGAGCCAACACTTGTCCATGATGCACACTGTGGTCAAGCAGCAGCAGCTCCTATTAAATGATCATAGGAAGTTATATAAACTTATGTTCTGTACTGTTTTGGAGGCCCTTGGACCACTTTAATGCTTGGCATTGCTTATTTAAGATTATTGCTCCTTGTGCAATAATCTGAAATAAGCACCACCAAATCTTTTTCCTCTATAGTTCTGGCCAACACCATACCCCCAATATTGTACTCTATCATAGTATTATTTTTCCCCAAGTTCATTTTTTTAAATCCATTTAGAAATGTTGAACTGCAGATTCCAGCAAAGCCAAATCATGTTCCATGTTACGAACACTTCTATGAATATTAACCCTATTGTCATCAACAAAAAGTAATGCCTTACCCACCAAATCATCAGTTCTACCACCTACAAACAGATTAAATAGAACAGGACTTTGTACAGAGCCTTGTTGTACACCACTAATGACTGGTCTCTGTTCTGAATGAACCTCATTTACAACCACTCTGATATATATCCTATAG